GTAACAAATTCCGCGCGATGCTCCGACATCTGTTTCCCTGGAATTCAGGATCTCTCTTTGAATACTGGTCAGGTCGCGCCTGTTTGCCGGGACGAGGCGTGAATGTCGGACTTAATTGGCAATGCGAATTTAGTGCGTGTATCGTCGTTTTATTACATTTCACTGCAGAGTCAGACTGTGATTGACCCCGTGTTTTTGTAACGTTGATCCAAATTGCAATTTCTAACGAATCGTAAGAGGAAAATTAACGAGAATCGAGACGAGATGTCAGTGCGCGTAAGAAATTTTTACTGACAACAAAAATAAAATTTTTAAGTGTGCGATAATAATTGCATTTGTAGTCGATGTTATGTATGCTCTAAAAATCGAGTTGCAGCTTTACATATATACGTATAAAACAATTTAAACTGTAACCATTATAATTCTATCGTTAAAATTATAGTTATTTGAGTGATTTCCAATACGCACTGACCGTACTGACTGTACAATGGATCTTTTTTTCTTCTAAATCTCATATTTGTGTTACTTTTCAACGTATTCACCTTGTGTTAAATTAACATGAAAATTTGGGTGGGCCATTTTGAACATAGAAATGTGTTAAATTTGACACAAAATTATATAAATTGTACGTGTACAATTATCTCAAAAAACTATCCGATATATTCTAACTTTGTTATAACGTACCGAATGAAGGTGCAACATCGAAATGCAGCGACGGCAATAACAGCAGTGGGTCTATCGCATTCGCGCCACGGGTCTATTTTTATACGCGTCGGCGTCAGCGTAACGTGTGTACAACACGCTCGGTAACGCGTGGTTTTGTCCGTTCGATCGAAGGGAAAAGAAGATTTATGCGTGCGTACGTCATTTCTAATCGAAGCGAATTCATTTTTCGACTAACGTATGTAAATAATTTCGGCGAGCGCGATCCGAACAAAATAGTCGCGTCGAATAATTTCGTTTCCACGTGAACGCCGTTCGACCTTACGGCGTCTCGCCGCGTCCTTCGTTTCCGGCACGCGATTGCCTTTTCTCGTCGTGTGCACGGAGAGATAGAGGGAACATCGTCGCGAGAAATAAATCGAGCGAGCGGCGTCCCGTAGCGTGCGCGCACGCGAGTGCCTTTATCCTCGCATGCGAGTCTACTCGGCCGTATTCCGCGATTTAATTAATTTTTTGTCACACATTGAAACACGATATCGGCTTGTCTACAGTTATAACAGATCGTGGCGAACCGGTACTGCCAATCGGTGTGTATCCGCGCGAATACCCCACCTTGAGAGCATCATCGATCAGGTAGCCGCGGCATTCTCTTAACTCGCCTCGAATTGCACTGTCATCCTGCGATACGACATTGTATTCATCGATCGTTTAATTACTAACTTGTGATATCGAGTTTTCTTTTCTCAGGCAATATATGGCTCGAATTTTAATTGTACACAGTAAAAAATATTTTGTACTTGTGTGCTAAAATTTTGTATTAAAATCGGTCCTCGTTAAAGTTTTTGTTTTTAACATATTCATTTTTTAACATATTCAAACATACGTTTGGAATATGTAAAAATGCATTAAATTTAACACAAAATGTTTTACTGTGTAAGTTCAGTAATACATTTTTCTCGATATCCCTGTAGTGTGATAAGGTGCGTGTTGTTTATTTTTACGTGTTGCGTGCACTTTCGCATCTACGTGAAGGAAGGGTTGAATGCAAACTATCATAGTTACAGGGCAAGCGAAGGGATCGATGTTGCTATCCTTATCGTGGTACTCGTCTCTACGTGCATAGCGCTTCGAAACCTTCCGAGACTTTAGGCCTTCGATCAGCCGGCTAAGAGCGATGCGGCTCTCGTCACGTGCCGTAAAGTCGATAAATCATCCGAATGCTGCCGCATACCATCGTCATTTCGTGCGATCCAGCTTCAAGACCTCCTTAAGTCCGGTCTATATGACGCGAGAAGAAGATGGGGAGAGAGAAGCAGAAAGACAATGCCGGTGCTATGAGGAAGCCAAGATCGTTTCGCCGAGATACGCGACCGAGAGTGCCGGTAGAAATCGGGCACCCCGTGAACGCGACGGGGAACGTACAAGATCTCGCGATCAATGCCATGGCATTTTAATCGATCACGTTTAATCGCGGTGTGTACGTCGTCATCCGAAGTGGAACATCGCGGGGAACGTTTTCATCTCCTCCCCGATAAGAACGGCTCGAAAGAGAAATTTCTCGTACGTAAACGACATTTATCTCTTGCGCGGCCATCGGGGCGCCCCACCGCTGCTGATTGCCTGGAGTGCACGTGGATGGATTTACGACGCGAAACTAAAATTCTACGCGAGCAGACACGGCCGCGTTTCCAGACGTTCGCTGCTGGAAAACGGGGTAAAACAATTTCGGCTTCGTAATTACATTGTTCTCCGCGTGCACGCGGAGAAGCGAGCCTCGTTAATGCAACACTGTGCGGACGTGTTATGGGGCAATGCTATGAGGAAGACGAGATCGTTTCGCGGCGATAAAGAGCGCAGCAGCGCGCGATCGACGCCCTCCCCCCC